GGTTGCAGCGAGGGCAGGAGGATGCTTTCCCACCCCAGCATCGCGCTGCCATGATTTCTGACTGTTTTGAGAGCGGATGGGCTGCTACAGGTGGGATTGGAGGCTCAGGCTGGGTCAGATGAAGATCCCTCAGTGGGAGTTTCTGTGCTTTCAGTGGGATGGATCAGCCCCTTCGTGCACCGATCAGAGTCTATGCAGCTAGCCCAGAACAGACACTTCTAATTGCCTAATTTTACTGTGACGAATCCCAGCTCAAGAAGAAAGACACCTGGTAATACCAAGACAATTGTATCACCCTCTGGATTTAAAATCACTTGAAGATATGAGGTGTTCAACTTCCCTCTGAGATTACAGCAGAAAAGACTTTCAGCAGAATTCATTAGCTGGATTAAACACACCGTGCCCGGCTCCCAGAGAGCTGCTCCAGGGGCAGGACGGGCTGCCAAGCCCCGGTGCTTGGTGGATGTCAGACCTGGGGACGCTGCTCTGGGGCTTCCCCACCTTGGTTCTCCTAGCTTGGAGGGCCAGGAGACTATCTCGACCTGGAGACATGAGATTCTCCCTTGGTGTAGGGTCCAACATCTGTGATGGTGTCTTCCAACGTTGTCACCTTGGGGTTGCACCAAACCCCAGCAACGGAGCATCCCCCCCAGCAGCACATCCTAGCGGGATGGGATGCTGCAGGCAGTCAGCTCCCAGGAAATGCTCAAAGTTGAGCAGTGAACCTTGGAGCATGGATTTCATTTGCTCCCCCGTCAGCTCTGCAAGGCGAAAAGCTCAGGGGCGGCGTAAGCTGCAAAGCTCTCGAGAGCAGCTTTTCCACGCCGCGCTCTCCAAACGACCCCGAGCCTGCCGAGAGCTTTTCTCTGCATTCGCCTGCCTGGTAGGTGTCAGGAAAGGAGCAGGGTTTTTGTTTGTGCTAATTTGTTGCTTTGTTTTCCGCGAGCTAGTTGAATTGTAATTAAAACCCAGCAGTCGCCGGGGAAGGAGCAGGCAGGCGCCGAGGAGCTGAGTCGAAGTCAAGAGAGTGGTTGGTTTTCAGTCCCCTGCTGCGTTGCCCTTGGCTTCCCTTTCTAGCATTAGAGAATCATAGAATAGTTTGGGTTGGAAGGGACCTTTAAAGGTCATCTGGTCCAACCCTCCTGCAATGAGGAGGGACATCTTCAACCCGATCAGGTTGTTCAGAGCCCCAACCAACGTGACCTTGGATGTTCCCAGGGATGGGGCATCTACCCATCTGCATTATCGGCATTTAAAATTAGTTGGCCGCCGCCTGCGCTGCTTCCCCGCTTATTTTCTTCAATTTGTGACAGTGAGCAGGGACTGAAGCCTGCCAGTTTGTCATGCAGGTGAGAGGAGATGATACAAAATTCATATTCTATTTATACCATTTGCAGCCTGCCTGGCTTTTTCCCTTCCATATTTAGGCTGAAATTTGTTATCAGCTGCTGTGGGGTCCTGGCCAGGTCATCATTAAACTCCAGGGCTCTGGAGTGCTTCCCAGCTCCTGAGCTTGGGTGTGGGTCTGGGTCACATCCTGACACGGTGCTGGGTGAGCCCTAAGCAGCCATGGAGGAGCTATACAGCACTGTTGCCTCTCACAGGTATCCTCACGTGGGCTCTGAGAGAGTGATTAGGCTGCTGGTCTCGGATCCAGGCTCAATTCCCAGCTCTCTGGCTGTACAACAGAGACAACAGTGCTCTCTGACCTTGCAAGGGTTTTGCAAGATAAATCTATTAAAGATTTAAAGATGCCAGCTCCCAACTACTCAATAAACCCCTGTTGATAATAAGGAACCAAGCGGGTCTTAGATAGTGTTGGTGTTTTTGGTTTTTTTTTTTTTTTTTTTTTTCTTTAACCCATGCATCTCCAGGCGAATGAATGCAAAATCCCATTTACTCGTATTGCCTGAAGGGCTGGACCCTCCCTGATCCAACTGTGGGTGGGATTTGCCCTGAAAGGAAATATCCGAGGGGATAATTCGGCAACGTGAGATGTCAGAGCAACAGGAACAAAGCAATGAGACGGCAGGACGGAATAGCAACAGGAAAGCAAGAAGTACCATTGACGGTGAGCGTCACCTCCCGTTCCCCGGCACCGACCCGCGGGACCACGGCTCGGCACACGTATTTCCCAGCGTCTTCCTGGCGGACGGACTTCAGGGTCAGCTTGTTCTCGTTGCTCAAGACCTAGAAGAGAGGAAGGGGTTGCTTTCAGGTAGGAGTGATGCAAAGTAGAACAAAAAATGTGAGTTACAAGCTCCTGGGCAGCCCAGAAAAGATGAAGTGGATGAACCCAAAGTCTTAGGTGGCATGGAAGTCGTTGAGACAACCACGCTCCATGTTGGCATTTCCACCTTTGCAGGTGCAGGGGAGGCTGCCGGGATTGACTTGGGGATTTCAAACCCAAAACTGGTGGGAGACCAACTTGGAGAGCTGGCAGACCCCTGGGAATCGGGTCTGAATAGCCAGGGAAATCTCAGCTGCTTTTGGTAAGGCCTCCCTATAGACCTATAGGCTATCAGCCACGCTGCCCTCCTGCCCCGGCACTGCAATTAGCAGCTTTATTAAACCTTGAAAAATTGCTGAAGCAGAGGGATCTGGCTGAAGCTGTCAGCAAAATCCCGGCACTGGCGGTATTTAAAAAACACGAGGCAGGGCTAAAACAAATAGCAGCTTTTGGAGCAATGCGTTTCCGTGCTGGAAATGTGTGCCTGGGGGCTAGTTCCTCCCGGTTGCCCTTGCCTCTCTCCTCCAGGATTTGGCAGGCTGGGCCAGCCCATCACCTCGCCTCCTTCCAGCACCCATTTGCTTGGTGAGCCCCCGCCTTTGCTGATTGCTGCTCCCACAGCCGATGGCTCCGGGCATTAGTGCTCATGCAAAGCCCTGAGCAGTAGCTGGACATGGATCTGGGTCTCCCTGTAGAAAACAGATGGGGGTCTCACCGCTAACTGGGCATGAGGCAGAGTCATAGAGTTTCAGATCCCTTTTAAACCCACTGTTTTAGCATCGATTACAAAGATATCCCTTCAAATGCCTGTGCTTACACGGCGTCACCCTCTCTTTGGTCTCTGATTTCCTTCCGGGATGATGTTTCCTTCTGAGAAAGTAGGAGGAAAGAAGGCAATCTTCTTGGACCCCAACCTGGCTGGGCAAAAAATCAGCCCTGATCCCACATCCCACTGCGACGGCTGGGTGCTGATGGCTTTACAAAGCAGCATCCCCTGCCAGCATCCCTCCGGAAAGATGGAGGTGGCTCTGCTGACCAGCACAAGCATCTCTACTGGGTTAAACTGGTCAGTGGGTCTATCTCGAGCCCTGAGATGCTTCGAGCCAGTACAAGCCACCTAGATGGAGCCAAATAAAAAAGGAGAAGGCTGCTCTGCCTGCCTGCTGCCGGGTAGCGAAGGCAAGCCCTGACGCGCGGCTGGGGCAGGACCGCGAGGGTCGGGAAGCCCTCGTCCTTGCTGTGCACGGCTCCTTTCAGCCGCCCTGCACACATCAGTGGCCTTGAGAAAATGAAATGGCAGTCTACAGTGTGAGAACGTTGCCTGTAATGATAATAACCCAGAGAAACAACAACCGCAGCTGCGGGATGGGAAACCACCCAGGGATTATTGACCCACTGGGATTCCTTAGCTGATTTGAGCCATCAGCTCTCCCAAGTCTGTAATTACTTCCCAGGAGATTGGTCTTCGTTGAGGTCATTATGGTTTGGAAAAAATACCCCAGCAGTTAACGCCTCAATGTCCGCACCCCTCCTCAGTCTGTGCCTGGGGAGCGGAGGTAAGGAGACCCACTCATTCATCTAGCTCCCGTGCGAGTCCAGCTCTCTGATAATACCGAGTCTTGAGCTGCCTAAGTCAGCGTTGCCTCATCGACTTCAGGACGCATCTTCCCAGATGAAGCCGAAAAACACCTTTCAAACCCAAACCCGCGTGCGTCTACCGGATGAGTCTCACGTCTCAGCCCTCCTTTAGCTTCTTAACGTGGCTTTGCTCAGCCCTCCTGTCTGTAAAGAGGGGATCAGAGTATCTCGTGCCTCCCTGGACTGACTGAGCCGTGATTAACAGTTGCAAAGCTCCTTACGCTTTTCAGGACAAAAGAGATGTGCAGAAGTTTGCTGGGCCAGATCCAGACTCCCCGAACTTGAGCAGGCTCTAGCCCTCAACAGAGGAGAGCTGGGGTGAAGGCGTTAGGATGTGAACTCATAGGTCTGGAGGCCAGAAAGGACCGTCCCAGAAAGGACCACACACAGGCCATTTGAAGAAGCGCGACCCATCAGTGAGAGGTTAAGTGATGCTCTGGCCTCTGTTCAACCCTTACGTCCATCATCACGGGAATCAACTCTCCTTCTGTTAGGACTCCTTTGCAAACATCTCCCGAGGGCGAGAGCTGCCTGTGCTGTGGAAGGTGGCTTTGCTAGGACTTGATGGGGCAGGGTCAGACGACCCGCTCCCTCCACTCCTCTGCGGCAGCGATGGCATTGATTTTCAGCTGTCTGGTTTTCCCTTTGCCTCTCCCAAACGGAACTCCAGGCCTGACTTTCCAACCTGCCATCCACATGCCTCGTGGATTCACACATGCTTTCATCCAAAATATTACAGAGGCAATAAAACCTTTACTGCTTCATGCACTTCTCTGGACTAACTGGGGACACTCACCGCAGCCTTGCGGACCTGCAGCCTGGAGATCACTGCTCTGCAATGCCACGCTGTCCCTGCCATTTGGAGGAGCCTTGTAGGTCCAGCATTTGTCCAGCCAGGAGCTGCCAGCCCACTTTGCTCCCAGATGGGGAGCTTCATGCAGTGTTTCATGTCCCAAAGGTGCCATTCCCCACCGCCTCGGCAGCAATTCTTACCACGCCGGAGCCTCGCTTCATCCAGACAATGGTGAGAGATGGGTTCCCAGTCCAAGCACAGTTGAAGACGGCGTCCGAGCCCAGGTCAACGAGGAGGGACTGTGGTTCTGTCGCCATCCTGGGCCCAACTGCACAGGGGAGACCAGAGTTACTCTCAGTGATGGGCTGTGTCAACCAGAAACCCTCAAACCAAGGAGGTCACTGTGTCAGAGGAAGCAGTGCTAGGTCTTGACAGACCTCTGTGTCACAGCCACGTAAGACCCCCAAATAAAGAAGACCCTGAGACAGGTGTGTGCTGCAAGCCCAGAACGACCAGTTCCCCAGGGACCACCACCATGACCTGTGCTCTCCTAAGGCTGGAGGAAATCATGGGTCCCACCACCAGAACATTTACAAAATCTGAGCTGCATGGGAGCCCAGCAAGTCCTGGACACCCTGGGTAAGTCGGATCTAGCTGGGTCCCCTTCCTGCTAATTTTCAGCAGCTATGCCGACCCTGCTTAGCCCTGGGAAGCCAGCCTCAAGCTGACAGACTACTTACAGTAGACGTCCACGGTCCTGCTGATGTTTGTGCTGCCCAGGGCGTTGGTGACCTCGCAGGAGACGGGCTCAAAGAAGAAGGTGTGGTCCACGATGGTTTCGTAGAAGTCACCGGATGCTTCCTTTATAACCTGGCCTTTTTTCGCCCACCTGTTGAAGGAGAAAGAGCATCGTCGTGGTGCTGGTTTGTGTCGCTTTCCGTTTACACGGGTGTGATGGTGGACACGCGCTCGCCGAGCACACAGCTTGTAGGGTTGAGGGGCAGGAGGACATCGGGCACCAGTTGCTGCCCTTGCCTTGTCCTCGGCATCGTCCGCATCCCCGTGGAGGTAGGGATTACAACCACAGGTTTTGGTGAGAAGACACCAAAGCGATGTGTACATATATCCCTATTGGAACCTTCCCAAAATAAAACCAAACCTGTTTAACTGGAAATATATCTCATTCCTTAGGATTGTGGGGCTTGGGTGGAAGACCTCGATGACATGACGGATGAGACAGAGAGAGTCTCCACTGATGGGGAACTGTGGTGCCAAAACACAGCAATCCCATGCCCAACGCTTGCCAACCAATGCTGCCGGCCCTTCCACATCAAAACCTCTAAAAACCTTTTCAGTTTTCCCCCACTTTCACCACCTTCTTTTTTTTTTTTTTTATTCCCCAATCAAAGAGAACTTTATCCCTTTAAGGCAGCTGAAATAACATTACCCTGAAAAGCCAAGCTGGCATTTGCAACACTGCAACTTGCAAATTGTCTTGGAGAACAAGCTGTCAACTCAGCACTTGAATTAAGCCGCTGTTTGCCAAACAATGAGCAAATGTGACCTAATGGGGCACCATCTGGCAACCCGCCACTCTGGAGCGGGTGGGAAAGACGGGAGATGCTGTCAGGGAGATGCTGTCAGGCAGCGTCAAACTCCAGCCGCTCTTTGGGGGAAGGGAAAGAAAGCGCAGGCAGCAGCCTGGGAAAAAAAACAAAACCAAAAAACCCCAAAAAACCAAAAAGAAATAATCCTCCCAAAACAACCGATAGGTAAATTAAAGGGAAAAGGATTTCCCTGAGGAATCTCTGCCCCTGTTGCTCTCCTCTGGTTGCACTGGATGGGTTGGGATGTTTGGGTTGGGGAAAGACGTAGGCACTGGGAGCTGGACTTGCTCCATCAGAGGTTGGGGGGATGAGCCATGGATACTGCTTCCCACGCCGGGTCGGTGGGGTGGTTTTGGGGAAGCTGTCCCCTTCAAGGCAAACAGTGTCTGCTCGTGGTCCTCCCACGGGTCTCCTGCTCCTGTCTTTACTGCTCTCCCCTGCTCAGCTATGGGTTCCCCTTGCTTTAATGCCAAACTCGCGCTGCCCCAAAGGCAACCAAAGAGAACTGGAGCTACAGTGAACTCAGAGAGAGGGTCCGGAGGCACAGATGGCTTCCCCAAGTGCTTCCGTGGGGCTGGAGCGAGAGCAAAAAGCCGGTCGGCGGCAGGCTGGAAAACGCTCCGACGGTTCTGCTAGAGCAAATTCCCCCGGCGCCTGCTAACGTGAACCTAATTGAATCAGGACAGCTGACCTGCAAGGCTTCACCCACCACCTGATGACACAAGCATTTTGAACGAGATGTATTAGCGGTACAGACGTGAGTTGATTTGTATGCACTTATCTGCCCTCCGCTTGTTTCATTTATCTTTGCACCTCTAACAGATGCTGACTGGCCACTTCAGCTTCCCTACCCTCCCTTCCTCCCCTTTCAATAATTAATCAGGAGATGCCGCTTTTATTTCTAGGGCTGCGCTTTGTGTGTTAATGAGGGAGGTTCCTCAGAGAGAAAAACCAGCACAAGCGACACCTTCCCAGTGCTGCTCCAAAGGTTTAAATGGTCAACGACGGTTTGGTGATGCTTTTCTCCTTCCAGAGGGAAAATGCAACCCAAGCAAGAGGTTGGCCAGCAAGGCTGATCTCAGCATCCCGCTTCCCTGCCTCCTGATGGGATCTGCTCCCTCCCTGCCGCAGGAACGACGTTGCCCATCACGGAGAGAATCTGCCAGGGCTGCGGCAGCATCTTGTCCCTTGGGGATGCTCTTTCTCCCTGGGCTATGGCAGGAGAGAGCCCGGGGGGATCTGCCAGAGCTCCGATATCTCATCCCTGAAGCTTTGCAGAGGTTGTGGGGTGGAGAAGAGATAGGTCCTCATTGCCTCCTGTTTGGTTTATTGGTCAAAACGGCCTGAAGTGACATAGTAACAATTTTGGATGAAAGAAAGTGAGGAAGGAAGGAAGGCAGAAAGCTAGAGGGACAGGGAAGCTTCAACTGGTGAACGTGGAAATACTCCGTGTTTTTTGTCAGGAGTTTTTCTGCTCCGTCAAGCTCCTTTTGCAACTTTGTCCCAATAGAGGCTCCGAGCCACGAGCAGATTTGCAGCCTCTGAAGGGTCTTGTTCTGCTGCTCAGGTGCTCGAGGGAGGCACCAGGGACATGAAGCCATTTCCTTGCAGCAGTCAATGGGACAGGACGAGTGCGGCACCAAACTCGTGGGGGAATCCAGCGGTTCCCTTCTGCCTGGCACTTTCCTGGTTATTTGGCACAAAATCACCTTCCCTGCTCTGCAAAGGATGAGAAGGAGGTTTCAAGATGAGGATAAAAGTGACTTGTGGGCTCCCTGGGTCATGTCCTCGCAGCCTGCCTGAAGCTCCAGCAGAGACACGGAGGGCACCTGGGCTTGGAAACCAGATGGAGAAGTGTCCGGAGGAGGGTTTGAGCTGGGCAGAATTCAGGTGAGATCCCCATGGACGTTGTAAAAGCAAGCAAAATGGAGGGCAAGGTTTCCAAGAATTGTTTGACTTTGCAGGGCCTTGGGAAAACACACGCCAACAACCGTGGCACGGCGCTTTATGTATTTGTTCAAAACCAATCGCTTCCGCAAAACTGGATTTCCCGAGTGCGGAGATGTGTCACAAACAGCAATTTTTCGTGCTTCAGCAGAGATCAAGGTTCTTGCTCCAGTTTTCTAAGGCTTAACACTGCTAAATCAATGTGGCTGAACAAGCAGTATAGATCTTTTATAATGTCAAATTGGTTTTTAATAACGACAGCTGATAACCCTCTTGTAAAGCTTCCCGTGATGTGCTCGTGGACGGCCAGAAGGCAAGTTACTCATGTTTTTAACAAGCCCATAACATGTCTTACTCACCTATTAACCTTTCAGTAATTATTTATAAACAGAATCTGAATAAAACAGAGCCGAGAAGACGCGGAGGATGCTCCAGCAGCCCCATCCACCACCTCCACCGCTTTCGCTCTTCATGATTTCTTCCTAATGTCTCACCAGCCTTATTACATCGAGCCTGGCTCCCCGCCAGTGCTCCTTGTCCTACCACCCTCGAGAGCCCGGGCTTCTTTCATTTATATTGTTACCTTGAAGGTATTTATAGATCGCAAATGTGTCGCCTACGGTCTTTTTCAGACTATATAAATTTACCTCCTTTAGTCTCTCCTCGTATGACTTTGCCGCTAACTCACCTGTCATTTTTTTACTGCTGGTTTTCTTCCTAAGCCAAACCATATCTCAGGGGCCGTAGGGACAGATCTGTGCAGGGGGAGCACCCCATCGTTGTGTCCCCCGCCCCATCCCCGGGTGCTGAGCCTGTCCCAGGAGAAAGGCGAGGGTCTGTCCTTGGGGATCCTGCCCAAAGAATCTGTTCCTGTGATTCCCTTGAGCTCTCCACGCCGAAGGTTAGCACGGCGGAGGGGATGCCATGGGACCCATCCCAACCTCCCTGCGCTTCTCGGGTGGTTCCCACAGGGTGACAGCAGCATCATCATTGTGAGATGCCTTCACAACCTTCTCTCTACCACTGACAGGCACCTTTTGAGGACCCTGCTCCAAATTCACCACTTTTTCCCCCACTCCCATGTCGTATGGCCAAGGCAGACCTCGCATCCTCTCTGCCGCTATCCCTCATCCCCTTGGGCTTTGCATATTTTCTCATCTTCCTTTCTCTTCACCGAGGACCTGTTTCCCCAGATGGGTGTTTCTTCCCCTCTGGGCCGAGTTTCATTTCGTTATTTCCTTTCCCATATTTCTAACCTGCGTTTGTTTTCCTCTGGCCTCTCTGGAGGGAGTGCCCCGTGCCTCTCAATTCAGTATCTTCTGGAAATTGAATCAGCCTGGGTGATGGAGGAAAACAAATTTCAACCAGGAAACAGATATTTTGATCCAAGCTTCAAAGGGGTTATTACAGACAGCACTGAAAAGCCAGTGATTAAAGAATGAAAAAAACCCCCAAACTGTACTGGGTCCTTTTAACACTTAAAGATAAGAGGAAGGGGGGGACTTTTCTAAGGAGACATTCTCCAGGGAAATAGCATTTTTTCTGGCTCCATCGATCGTTTCCCAGCTAAGAGCACAGGCAAGCAAATAAGAAAGGACAGTTTGGGGTACGTTAGCTCACAAGCAGTGCCCTGGCTTTGTTTCGGTTTTCATATGTCAGTGTTTTTTCAGTGACCTGCTCCGGTTTCCTAAGGAACCTGCCAAAAGCCAAGTTGAAGCACCCGTCTTTCCTCCCGGGGCCTCGGTGGAAGATGCTCAGCCAGGTCTCCTGTACAAGGGGTATTTTACTCAGCAGCTCCATCACTTTTCCCCAAGGATCCCATTTCTGGCTGGGTTTCCAGGCTCGTGGAGCCCATGAAGATCTAACCCCGTTCGCAACGAGAGTGTAACATCCCCTATAGAGCGTCGGTACATAAAGGAGCATCGCTAGCAAGCACTTCATCTGCCTGAGCACTGTCCAAGCTCGCCGTAACAAATAAATTCCTCTGCCTGCAGTACAAGGACTTGTAATTCTTCAACAAACAGCGTGCGTGAACAAGCTATTTACTTTACAGCCCTGGGAAGGCTGTAGGACTTGTACATACTCTTCTTTATAAAGCTCCTCGTCAGGCCACGGCTTTTTCCAGCATCTCCCAGTAGCGTAGGAACAACCGGAGGGCATCCCTAGCAGCCATCCCGCAGCACAGGGGTGCTGGGGCTCTCCAAACTCTATGATGCCCCATCAAACACTACTTAAATCCATACTGCAGGTTCCTAGGGAGGAGATTTTTTTTGCAGCTGCCAGCAGCACACGCGCTCCTTGAACCAGACCTCCCGGTAGATGGGCTGCTCCGATACTGTATAACCCAGGGAAGTGGAGTGTATCGTAATTTTTAATTAACAATGCAAAATAAAGTAGTTGCTTGCCATATAAATTGTGTTTACTAAGAATGACTTAAAAGAGATAAATATTTTCTTGGACGCATTTTAATTGCTTAATAAAAGTAGCAAGAACAC